CATGTCAGGTAATCATTCACATACTTCTTTCATCATAATAAACACTCCTTCCTCACCTCATAGTGGTTCTGTGAGAATATCTTGGTATCTGTATGATTCCTACTGGTTTGGTGAGAATAATATCCTTACAAGTGGCCACATGCTCTTGGTTTGACCTCTGAAGCAACCTGGTTATTTTATTGTCCTTTGGACCTGGAAGTAAAGAAAGAAAAGGGAATGAGAATAAAACTAAGTTTTAAGAGGCTTGCTATATGCTTTTCAGATCAAGGCAGTTTGCTTTCTTCACTAATTGTTGTAAGAAAAAAGTTAATAGGAGGTGGGTAGTGTCACTGAAAAGTCTCTATCTGAAACATTCAGAGATACAGAAAAGCAGCAACTCTAAGAATTATCTTTGGCATAGCCTGTGGTCTATGGAAGATAAGGTTGGATGACTATAGATAATGCTGGTTCCAGGCACAATTCCATCTGAAAGCAACATTCTTAATATAGTTCTTCAGAAAAAAGCTTTCATATGGTATGCATGCTTTTCTTTATTAGTCACTTAACTTTTTCCCAAATATGTCTTTGCAGTGCTTTTTGGTGTCAAGGAGAGAAACAAGCTTTCAGTTACCTATGTCTATCTAGAGTCGAAAAGCTTTACTAATTATATATTCTAAAATGCAATCTGATAACTCTGAATTGCATATAGTTTACATTTGTAATCCTGGCATCTAATATTCGTGGTTTGCTTTCAAAACCCATTCTAACCTTTTATTATTATAATATCACTCAGAGATAACAAGTGTCCAAGCTAATCAACCAGCAAAGATTTGGAACCCAAATCTTCTGATCCACGAGAATTACAGCTGCAAAAAAGGCTCTCTGTGGTTGTAAAATCACAGTCACGTTCAAAAACATTATTTTGTAACCAATGTATCTTCACCATGTCCAAAAGTCACAATTCTGAGTGATTTACAAGTCAATCAAGTTATCCACTGAGCAGTTTCTCTTTTGGACCTTTCCAATCTCAGATCACCTCAAATATAAACTCATTCTCCACAGAAACACAATTTCTTACAAAACAGTGTGTAACTTTTGAATATTCCTAAAAAGAAAATTAATTTTTAGCTTTATAAGTTTACAAAATGACTAAACATACCTTGGACTCTAAAGACAATATAACTTATGCCAAAAGCACCTTGTACAAGGGAACGAAATGTCACCTTCACCAGTGGTCCAGAGCTGATGAAAATCATTGGGTAAAGCCGTCTTCCACATATTTCACCTAGGTTAAAAAAAAAAATCTAAT